AAGAATGGTGTATCCGACAAGGGATTTGGGAAGTTACTGACTATCGCAAAGAAGATGCCTCCGAAAGCAAACGAATTGCCCGCCACTATATACATAGCAAAACAGGTCATCTGCCCTCTGGAATTAGAAATCCAGAAGATACATGCATGTCCTAATGACTGCATCCTCTACCATGGCAAGGAGTATAAGAATTTGGATGCATGTCCGGTATGCCATGCATCACGGTATAATATTAGGTGAGATGACCCTAGTGATGTTGAGGGCAACGGTGAACATCTCAGGAAGAGAATCCCTGCCAAGGTAATGTGGTATGCTCCTATAATACCACGCTTGAAACGTTTGTTCAGAAACAAAGAGCATGCAAAGTTGTTGCAATGGCACAAAGAAGACCGTAAGGTAGACGATATGTTAAGACACCCCACTGACGGGTTCCAGTGGAGAGCAATCGACAGAGAATTCCTGAAGTTTGCAGATGATGCAAGAATCCTTCGGGGAGCAGAGCAGCAATCATAGCACTTGGCCTGTTACTCTATGTATCTACAACCTTCCTCCATGTCTATGCATGAAGCAGAAGTTCATTATGATGCCAGTGCTCATCCAAGGCCCAACGTAACCTAGCAACGATATTGATGTGTACCTGAGGCCATTAGTTGAGGAACTTCTACTTTTTTGGAGCAACACATGCATACGTGTGTGGGATGAGTACAAAGAGGAACACTTTGACCTATGAGCATTGTTGTTCGTAACAATCAATGATTGGCCTGCTCTTAGTAATCTTTCGGGACAGTCAAACAAGGGATATAATGCATGCACACACTATTTTCGTGGCATGGAAGGTATATTTTTGAAAAAATGTCGAAAGATCGTGTACATGGGCCATCGTCAATTTCTTCTATTGAATCACACCCTATGAAAGAGAGGCAAGCATTTTAAAGGTAAGGCAGAGCACCAAACAAAGCCTAACAACCGTAATGGTGAGGATGTATTCAATATGGTCAAGGATGTACAAGTAGTCTTTGCGAAGGGACCTGGCAGCCAACCTGTTCTGAATGATGCTAACGGACACGCACCCATGTGGAAGAAAAAGTCCATATTTTGGGAGCTACCCTACTGGCAAGTCCTAGAGGTCCACAGCGCGATCGACGTGATGCAACTGACGAAGAATCTTTGGCCCCGTTCACTTCGCTGAAAAATAAGCCAAAACACTGTTCCGGCTGATTTGTTGTGAGAGAAAAATACTGTTCCGGTTGAAAAACATGCTGAAAAGTACAGATTATAAGACAAGCGAACAAGGCCTTTGTGTGAACCTGCTAGGCTTTATGGATGTATATGGGAAGTCTAAGGACACACTAGAAGCAACATAGAACCTGAAGTGGTACTTAAAAGTGACCGCCAATCATGAAGCGGCATGGCTTGTTGCCAGAGTGAGACCAGAGCATTACTTGGGCTATGACGTTGTACATGTTGAGTTCAATGAATTACACCAACTATTAAACCGGGACGCTCTCGACAAATCTCTCGTCGGCTGTTGGTGTATGTAAGTGATTCTTTCTACAATTGAATTGAAGTAACTTGCATGTTAGTTCGTTGTTCATATATAGTTATCCTCACACTATATATATTTTTTGTACTATATATATGCATATATGAGATGCTGAAACTAAAGACAAAAGCGATGACTGAGGTTGGTTTCATTGATCCGAATCGCGAATTCAAGGACAGGGTTACTCTATATGATAGATGACGACCTCAAGTGGAGAAGCTTCTGTTCAGGTTCTTAGATAAGAACGCTAACCAGACATTGATACTCTTCCCATACGGCTTCAAGTGAGTGTGAATGTCTTGTACCTATTTTATTTTGCTTACTCCATGTTGACTTTAGTTAATGAGTTATGCCTGCATATAAACATGTAGCTTTCACTAGATACTACTGGTCATCGATATGACTAAGAGTCGTGTAAAAATCTTTGACTCAGCAACAAAACCCCGAGCAGATTACCAAGAAATCATCGATATACTCTAGTGGTAATTTCGGTCTCGCATACACAGTATACACTCTTATGCCATTTTAATGATATAACTCCATTTATTTATTTTGTTGAGCAGCGCTTGGAAAACATTCGCCGAGAAAACAATTATGGTAATTAGGAAGTGTCTCTGCATATAGTCCAATACCCAGTAAGTACTAGCTAGGTCACCGCATCTTTATTTAGTTCAATTCATTATTACCATGCTTCATTGGTTGACGATAAATCTTTTTCTTGTAAAGTGGTGTTTGCAGCAGGGATCGGGGAACAACTTATGTGGATACTACGTCTGTAAGTTCCTTATGCGGTACTCAAGGAGAACAAGTGAAGAGATCCTCGAAGTACGTAAAACACAATTTATTTATTACCATTGTGTTGATATATATAATCATATATATATTCATACTTTTCCTTTCATTTGAATTGAAGATTGAATGGAGGAAGCAAAAGGTCCTGCGATGTGACCAGATCAAAGCAATTCAAGAGGCATTGTCATGATTTCTTATGTATCAGGTCATAGATCCCAAGGGCGCGTACTACTATGACCCTAAAGAATAAATACTAGTAGCCAAACGACTGAAGATTAGGGTTGCCAGAAATCCCAAGGACATTAGTACAAGGTTTTTGTGACTTTATTATGTACATATTCCATGCATGTACAACCTCTTGAAATATTTGTATATATATAGTTTCATGCATTTTAGTGTGTTATTTATGTATAATGCTCGAACGAAACCTTATATGTACGTATATATGGATGTATATTAGCAGCGTAGAATTCATATACGAAACGCTAATTGAAACAAAAAAGAATTGAATTGAAAAGAAACCATAAAATGAAAAGAAAAGAAATGAAAAAAAGGAATCTTTAGTACCGGTTGGAAACACCAACCAGGACTAAATGTGCCAGCCCCGGTGCAATGTCGGGGGCACATTTAGTCCCGGTTGGTAATCGCAACCGGGACTAAAGGTTCACTTTCGGTCCCGATTCTCAGAACCGGGACTAAAGGGGGGGCTTTAGTCCCGGATTCGCAATCTCGGTTGGGAAACCGAGACTAAAGAGGGGGTTTCTCAATCGGGACTGATGCTCAATCCTGCACCAGTGTGTTGTAGAGATATGGTGCTAAGTGCAAATAGAGAGGAGCCCTCAAGCTGATCGATCTTGTTGTCCTGTTTATTTATTCTTTCTTGTTGCCATGGGAAACAAACGGATTTGGGGAAGGCAGAATGGGGGCGCCTCTGGTTTTTTTTCTTGGAGCGTGGGAAAGAAGGAAAGATCACGTCACGCGACCAGGGCAGGGACGGGACAGAAGGATTTCAAAATTTTGTCTGGACTGGAACCACCCACCGTCCACGGACCACGGGCCTAAACACTTCTCTACATTCGTTGCGGCTCGTGGGCTATACATTCGTTCTGGCGGTCGGTTGCTCGTGCAGACATGTGGCGACCTGCAGCGGCAGTGACGGGGCAGCGGCTGACACTGTGGATGGGTCGTGGCCATTGCCGTGCATGGGATTGAGGCACCATGGCGAAAGCTTTGTCCCTATTGGACTGATGACTGCGACATCTCCGGGCACCACTTTCTTCCATGGAAGCGTCCACCAAACGGTCCTGTCCTCTTTGCGTGGCTTGTCTTCTTGGGTGAAAACTTTGACCTCTGGTCAAGTGACGGCGGCGGCGCTGGTGTCACATCCCTCCTTGGAGGCGTCGTTTCAAAAGCTCGTTCTCGATCAATCTGCGGCGGCGGCCAGCCTCTTGGCAAGGAAGGTGGAGGCCTAGTTGAGGATTCAAGTTTTCGAGGTCCACAGCGGAGGAAGGTGGCCAGGAGGAGGGTGTTGGCGCAGCTATTGGAAGGCCTTGCGTTTGCTTGGCAATGGAGGGTGACGGTTTGGTGGATGGGACCTCGCGTTTTCGAGGTCCACGGCAATGAAGTTGGCGATGGGACCAACGTGGGCGGTGGTGGCCAGCAGATTTGTGTTGCCGAGGGACCTGCGTGGTGTGGTGGCGTGCGGTCCCACTTAGTGGCGGCTGTTTTCGGTGCAAAAGGCATTCTGACTAGCAGCTAGAGGACGTGTATCGCACTTCTACTTTGAATGAGGCAGCTAGGTCCTGGAAGCTACGGTGTGTGTGCTTGGATCTCGATGGATGGGGTTGGCTAGGCGAGCTCCAGCGGCAGCTATGGCTTGCAACAGACTACGGCGGTTAGCCCTGCTCGACAACAGGCTACTCGGTGTGGGATAGTGTCGGCAACGACAGCGTTTTCGTCTTGACAACTTTGTCATCTGGTTGTTGGCAATGCAGTGTGGTGCATGTGCTTTGTGCTAAGCTTGGGCCTGTGTAGCTTGTGTACAAGTTCCATTTCAACCGGCCAGAGTTGTGTTTTCTTCTTCTCTTGAGTTGAGTTTGGTGCGTGTTGATGACCCAATCTAACCGACCATAGTTGTATAGTTTTTTATTTTGCCTATTCTGTGCTTTATCTGCTTTTTAATATAATCAGCAGCTCTCCTGCCCAATTCGTTTTTTAAAAAAATTCACAATTTCTAATAATTACCATATTAACATACCATTCAAAGAAATATATGCTTCGTTAATTTCATACTATGAGGTGACCTTTATTTTAGTCCTATCCTATTTGTTCATGTTCATGAAATTAAAAAACTGGACATGATGTACTGAATAAATGGTCACAAAATAACTAGCATCACCAGCCAAATCATCTTCAATCCACATGCTTCCACTCCTCAAGCGGAAAAGAGATGCAAAAAGTAACATCACTAGAACGTTGCTACACTATTGTCCGAGATGGATTCCAACCCCATCACCAGGAACTGTTGCTACACTATTGCCCGAGATGGATTCCAACCGCATCACCAGGAACTTTTTTCACACAGGCTTGCCAAAACATTAGGGGCAAGTCCCTCCAGTTCTCATCAAAAAAAAAATCACCAAGCAAGAGAAATCACGCGCACAGATCATCGAACGAACAGGATATCGAGAAGAGGAGAGGGGTGCACGCAAGCGACATTACCGAGCCGCACTTCTGGTTGATGTAGTTCTTGGGGCAGATCCAGTGCTTCTGAGCGGGTATCTCCTTGAACTGGTTGAAGTAGTCCTTGGTGGTCTCCAGGAACGTCGCCTCCTCCCCCACCGTCTTCTTGTAGCACTTCTCCTGCATCTCCAGCTCCTTTCTCTGGTGCAGGCTCGACCTTCTGCTTGCCGAACACCTACAACATGGCACAGGCAAAAGAGATTAGCCTTAAAATACATCATAATCAGGGAAGCAGCTCAATAAAAATGATGTCTATTCGAAATGCATAACAAGCAGCAACAGATTAGCTACTGAAATTTAAGTCACAAGCCTGAAAGGTCTTACGAGGAGGAACCAGCAAATGCATAACAAGCAGTACCAACATTAGCTACTAAAATCCAAGCCACGAGATTGAAAGGCCTTAAAAGCATAGACTAGCACAATGGAAACGATTGATATGTACAGAAATGCATAAAAGGACGTATTCAGCTATTGAAATCCAAGCCTCATGCAGGGGAAAAACTGGACATGGACTGAATAAATGGTCACAAAATAACTAGCATCACCAGCCAAATCATCTTTAGAATACACATGCTTCCACTCCTCAAGCGGAAAAGAGATGTGCAAAAAGTAACTTCACCAGAACGTTGCTACACTATTGCCTGAGATGGATTCCAACCGCATCACCAGGAACTTTTTCACACAGACTTGCCAAAAAAACGAAGCACAAAATCAACGCCATGTGTGCTGAACAGACTGACTTGGAACAAACAAACTTGCTAAATCTCCTATTCCCCATTACACCATGATCAGTTCAAGCACAAAAGAAAACAAGGAAAAAAGTACTACCATCACCATCCAACAATATCTGATCACCATCCATTATCCAACAAACTCGCTAATACTACCAGAAATGGATTCCAACAGAACAGTATCACCATGTTTGCTAAAGAGACAGAAAGGATCTGAACATCTGAACATGTTAAATCATCTATTCACCATCATCCATTCACGATTAAGAGAAACTGGAAACATAAATTATACTAACAACAATCCAGCAATTTCTGATCGCATGAGAACTGCTTGTAGCCTTGTACTAGCGATGGATTCAATTCAATCCAAGGAATAACTCCACTCAAGCAGAAACATACAACCCAAAAACAAAGACTAGCATGGCAGATCCAGTGCTTCTGGTTGAAGTAGTTCTTGAGGCAGATCCAGTGCTTCTGAGCGGGTATCTCCTCGTTGAAGTAGTCCTTGGCGGTCTCCAGGAACGTCGCCTCCACCCCCACCGTCTTCTTGTAGCACTTCTGCATCGCAGTAACAGATTAGCTACTGAAATTTAAGCCATGAGCCTGAAAGGTCTTACGAGGAACCAGCACAATGCAAACCATATATCCACAGAAAATGCATAATAAGTAGTAACAGCTTCTCAAATCCAAGCCACGAGATTCAAAGGTCTTATAAAAGCATGAACCAGCACAAATGGGAAGGTTTGGTATCTACAGAAATGTATAATAAGCCGTAACAGATTAGCTATTGAGAATGAGATACAAGCCACCTGAAAGGTCCTACTAAAAGCCCACCCCAATCCGAATCAGCATAATTGAAACAATTTCTATTAGATTGCATCACTAGCAGTAACAAATTTGCTACAAAAGTCCAACACAAGACTCTGAAGAGCAGAGAACCCAGCTAGATTACTACTGGGCATAGTAGCCCTTAATCCTGACAAAATCTATTCAGGACCTGATGAAAAGAAACGCAATAATGGTTAGGCACGACAGGACAGGGGAATCTTGCATACCAAGATTCAAAATCAATCAGCACACACTAATGCAGGGGAAAAAAACTGGACATGATGTTCTGAATTAATGGTCAGCTTGCTAAATCCACTGTATTCCCCATTACACCATGATCAGTTCAAGTTCCAAGAAAATTGAGGAAAGAAGTGCAAACATCACCATCCAACAATATCTGATCACCATTCAACAAACTCGATACTACAATACTACCAGAAATGGATTCCAACAGAACAGCATCACCATGTTTGCTAAAATTACAGAAAGGTTTTTAACTTCAGAACATGTTCAGTTGCCTATTCACCATCATCCATTCACGATTAAGAGAAACAGGAAACATAAAGTCTACTGCCAACGATCCAGCAATTTCTGATCGCGTGAGAACACTACGATTTTCTGGTCGCTTACTAAAAATAACATCACTAATTGGTGACATGCTTGTAGCCTTGTACTAGCGATGGATTCAATCCAACGAATAACTCCACTCAAGCAGAAAAAACAACCCAAAAACAAAGACCAGCATGGCATCACTATGACGAAAACCCTGATCACGAGACTAATTGAACGCCTACCAGGTACAAGTTACTGGAACTACACGCACACAACAAATTTTTCGCAACCAGGGAGGCCGCAGGCAGAACACGCAAGTGGTACTTCACCAAACAGCTACGAACCAGAAGAAATCGCCAAGCAAGAGAATCACGCACGCACATCATCGAACGAACGGGATATCGAGAAGAGGAGAGGGGTGGGCGCAAGCGACACTACCGAGCCGCACTTCTGATTGATGTAGTTCTTGAGGCAGATCCAGTGCTTCTGAGCGGGTATCTCCTTGAACTGGTTGATGTAGTCCTTGGCGGTCTCCAGGAACGTCGCCTCCTCCCCCACCGTCTTCTTGTAGCACTTCTCCTGCATGGCAGTAACAGATTAGCTACTGAAATTTAAGCCATGAGCCTGAAAGGTCTTACGAGTGGACATGATGCTCTGAATTAATGGTCAGCTTGCTAAATCCCCTGTATTCCCCATTACACCATGATCAGTTCAAGCTCCAAAGAAAATTGAGGAAAAAAGTGCAACCATCACCATCCAACAATATCTCATCACCATGCAACAAACTCGCTACACAATGCTACCAGAAATGGATTCCAACAGAACAGCATCACCATGACATGCTTGTAGCCTTGTACTAGCGATGGATTCAATCCAACGAATAACTCCATTCCAGCAGAAAAAAAAACAACCCAAAAACAAATACTAGCATGGCATCACCATGACAAAAACCCTGATCACGAGACTAATTAAACGGCGCAACAAATTTGTCACAACCAGGCAAGCCGCAGGCAGAACACGCAGTGTTACACCACCAAACAGCTACGAAATCAGAAGAAATCGCAAGCAAGAGAAATAACCCGCGCACATCATCCAACGAACGGGATATCGAGAAATCACGCGCACACATCATCGAACGAACAGGATATCGAGACGAGAAGAGGGGTGGGTGCAAGCGACATTACCGAAACGCACTTGTGGTTGAAGGTTGGTGTCGCGGTCCTAATGCTGGTGCACTGTTCATGCTCCCTCTTGGCCGATTCGGATTTGAATAGGTTTTTGCAGGTCGCGCATTGGAAGCCCTTGTGCTTTTTCGGCAGGAGCTTCCGATGCATGACCTTATAATGAGACTCCATCCCTAAAGGCTGATAGGTGTCAGTAGGGGTGGGCCCAGGCCTAGGGCCACTAGGGCCATGGCCCTAGTCGTGACCCAAATAGTCTAATAATATGTATGTAATTTTTTAGCCCAATAAAAACAGTCCAACAAACGTTTCATTGGAGTCTCCTGTCTCTCATGAGTAGGAGTCCCCCCTCTTGCCTTATCGCTCTCATAGTCACAGGGTCACATTGCGCCACCGCTACTTGTAGTGGCCACATAGGCGTGCCAGCCTGCCACGTGCAAATGATCCTAACTAACTTCTACTTTGCACTAGCTCTATCTCACTCAAGCAAGCGTCCTACTCAATTCTAGTTGCTACGTCTTTGTTGAATCGCACAAACACACAAGCTAGCAACTACAAAAGAAAGCTAACTAGAGAGCTAATTACAACTAGTTACAACTACAAGCTACTCGAGTGCTACACTAAACAAGAGAGCTACAACTACTCAAACTACACAAGCAAGCAAAAACTACACAAGTAAACTAATGAATGAATAGCAACTGTAGTGCTCTATACCGAACAGGGCAAGACACATGACCCAAGATATACCCCAAGGTTCAGTTGCTTACCGGCAACCTACGTCCTCGTTGTGGCAAGTCCCAACTTGATGATTTACGAGCTAATTGGCTTCACACGCCAAGCCCACCACATGGGCACCATAAGAATCACCCAAGAAGTGCACTCCAACTAGCCATGATTCCACTAAAGTTGCTCTTTGCGAATCTCCTGTGGGGAATGTGCACAAGAACCCCTCACAACCAATCAATCGGAGCTGACAACAATCACCAATGCCGCTCAACGATCCTTTGCTGCCTCCAAGCCATATAGGTGGTGGCAGCCCCCAAGAGAAACAAGAATCCCACAGCTAAAACAATCACTAGTGCTACTGGATGCCTCAACTCAATGCAAATGCACTAGGATCACTCCCAATCTCACTTAGGATGAAGCAATGACCAAGGAGATGAGAGGGAGATGTTTGCTTAGGCTCACAAGGGTGTAAAATTCATCAAAGTGCCAAGAGAGACCAGCCAAGACCGACTATCCACTATTTATAACCCCCCTTGGAGCCAAGTGGCGCTGGCCATTTTCTTTAGCCGTAGACCGACCGTCGAGGATGTCAGATCAAAGATGATGGGTCCGACGTCCTCTCCTCGCGCCACGTGGAGTCGAACGTTTGAAGGTAGCCATTGTCTCCCAATGGCTCTCTACATGAGTGCTAGCGCAAGGGCCGATGCCCTAGGTCTAATACCATCGGACCATCAGCGCCTCAACGTCTGACACGGAATAGAAAGGTTCCAGAACCAAAAATCACACGTCGAACAAGGCCGACGCCCTTTGTCGGACCACGTCGGGTCCGATGACAGCAGTCAAACAAGTCTGCACGCTCTCTTGTGCAAACCTACACGTGAACAGTGTTAGCATCCTCTGAGGACCATCGGACCATAGGCTAGAGTCCGATGAGACTCAAGCCCTCTACCGCGCGCGCCATGCTAGGTAAGCCGTCAGACTCGGGCAGGTGCCGATCTAACGCTCTCAGTAGGGTCCAACGACCCTAAGACAATGCCCCTTGCTCTTTTCTTCAACCCCTTCTGTCATGTGCTAAATCTGAAGTGTCCCAAATACTTGTGCATGTGAGTTAGCATTTTTCAAAGGGTTTTTAGCATACTCACTAGGCCTAATGCATATGCATGGAGTCAATTCACCTAATGGCACTTAGATAACCGTTTTGAACTTCAAGTTTCCCTCTTAATAGTATGGCTATTTATCCTAAATCCAATCACGCACTCTATTGCGTCTTGACCGGCAAAACAAAATGCTCTAGATTATACCTTTGCCTTGAGCCCTTGCATTTTGTTTTTTCTCTTTCTTCTTTTCCAAGAATTGAACACTTGATCATCACTTGTGGCCATCAACATCACCGTGTGTGGCATCTTTGCTCAATCTTGGATGTGGACCTAACCTATCTCATTCACAACCATATAGTGAGGATTAGTCCACTTAATTGTCTCAATTATCCAAAACCAAACACAGGGCTTTCAACGCTCCACCACTGGTTGTTGTAGGAGCACATATGACATTTGGGACAATCCTACCCCTAGAAGAGACCTAATAGGGGTTAGTGTAGTAGCTTGTGAAATCATCCTCTACCGAGGGGCTGCTTGTAAATTGTTGTTGCCTATATATATAGTGCCCAAGAGCATGAGATAAGGGGTCTCTCTCCCCCTCATTTGCAAATCCTAGCTACCGCCTATCTCCTCTCTACTCGCCCCCTAACTTGTTCTTCGTTCTGAGTTTCTAGTTTTAACCCGTTATAGAGTTTTGATTCCAATTATAAATCTAAAATTAGGACCCAAATTGTCACTAATGTTTCATATTATTTGCTTAGCTACTATATAGTATTAATAATGTATAGTTGAAGAACTTCATGATTTGTAATTTGTAATCTTTTTAGTACTAATAATGTAGTTGAAGAACTTCACGATTTATAAACATTTTATGAGAATATTTTTTTCTATGTGACACACATACATAGACCATCGTGTATCTTTAGGCTTCTGCTACTAGAATTTGGCCCTACTCTTACCAAATCCTAGGTCCGCCACTAGGTGCCACAGCCCGCATCAGCGATGCTCTTACCCTCTTGGAAGGCTTCATTCATACAAGCAACGCAGGGGAACTCTCCTGTTGGAGCAGCCCGAAAGGAATCCTGTATGGCTTTGGCGAACAGAATGGTGGGGGATTCGGGCCCTTTCTCGCTGTCTGAGCCCTCGAGCTCGGCACCCTCGTGTCCCACTTGCGCACAGCGGTCGCCTCCTCGGCAGCGGCGACGGCGCCATCGTCCATACGATCCGCTAGGGTTTTGGGGGAGGCGGGCGTTGGGTTCGCGGATTTGGGGGATTTCAGCTTAGGCGGGCGGAAGGAAGAAGAGAGGTTGTTGGGGGATTGGGGAAAGGCGTGCATGGGGGAGGGGTTTTGCCCAGGGCCCAGGGGTGGCGATGGGTGTGAGCAGGTCAGGCGGTCAGCTGGGGGATGGGAAGGATTTGGGGGCTTGTAACTTTGTGAGATACATATTGCATCGATGATTTTACCAATTTAACCTTAATGTGGTGATAAATGCTGACCAACCATATATAGACAGAATAGTCATTTTAGTTTAATTTTTTTGGCTCGGAAGTGCCAGAATGCCTCCAATCTTAGCGCCTACTGCCAAGTGCCAAATATTGGCGCCATAGTGGTGTTGTTACCTTTTCCTCTAAAAAAATACCATTACGTGGTGAGAAGCTGCTAAAAAATGACTTTGTTCCTAATAGACTACAAGTTTGTACAAAAGATTGCTTGTCATTTATATATTTGTACAAAACATATTTGTGGCTCACTAGTAGAGTCACTTTCATTCAATGAATTGTTTTTCTATTTAGTGGTAGAGTTACTTTTCGTTGAACTATATAAGAGGTCTCATGTTCAAGCGCCTTTGGTTGCAACTTTTTTTAGTTCTTTTCTTTCTTCATGTGCAGCCATTGCTACTGGACCACATCAAAATTTGTAAAATATAGAATTCAAAGGCCGATAAATAAAGATAGGCTAGACTTGTTTTGAAAAAAATTGTAAATAAAGTGATCCAAAAAAGTTATTATATTTTACAATGTTTGTCGATTGGTCTGTTACAACACTTTATTAATTGTCACAATATAAGACAAATTTAGTTTACGACGAACTCTATTTGGTCCCAATGACGAACAAATTTTTTTGTCGCTACATATCATCCGCACAAGTAAAACGTCGTAAGCCAAATGATTTAATGACAAATTACTCTGTGGTCAAGGGAAAAACATCGTAAAAGGTCCTATTTATTGTAGTCAACACCCATACACACTAGCAAAGCCTAAAGAGAGCTTCTAATTCACCCTTTGTGGGATTCTTGTCCATCTAGCCATATCTTATCTACTATACGTAAATAGGAGAACCCCACTAGCCTATTTTCCTATGATTTCATGAAGCCACGTCATCCAAGGGTTCCACCACCACAAGTCCTCTTGCCGCCACATCATCATCATGTTCATACACGCACAGTTTAATCTAGTATCTACTATACCTAAATAGGAGAAACCCACTAGCCTATTTTCCTACAATTTTGTGAAGCCACGTCAACCAAGGGTCCCACCACCACAAGTCCTCATGCCGCCACTGAAAGCCCTAGTTTGGTTT